TCCATCAGGTCTGTGACTGATTCCCAGCTTCCAGGGAGGTCTTCCTGACCACTCCCTCCCTAGCACACTCAAGCCCCTTTCCCCCTTTAATAACTGGCCACAGAGCACACTATACATTTTCTTCCTCATTTTCTGTTGCATTCCTCCTCTGCCCTCTTTCTGAGCACCCCAGGGGCAGGATGGGCATCAGCCCCACCCATGTGGCAACTGCTTCTCAGTACAGGCCTGGACCACAGGAGGCTTGCAACAAACATTTGCTGAGCCAGGTAATGTGGCTCAAGCCTGTAATCCCAGCACTACAGGAGGCAGAGGCGAGAGGATTGCCTGAGCCCAGGGGTTCAAGACTAGCCTGGACAACATGGCAAGACCTCATCTCTACAATAAATCAAAAAATAATTGGGGCCAGGCACGGTGGCTCGCCTATAATCCCAGCACTTTGGGAGGCCGAGGTGAGAGGACTGCCCGAGCCCACGGGTTCAAGACCTGCCTGGGCAACTTGGCGAGACAAAATCTCTACAATGAATCAAAAAGTTAGCCAGGCATGGTGGCACGTGCCTGTAGCGTCAGCTACTTGGACGGCTGAGGCAAAAGTATCTCCTAAGCCCAGCAGGTTAAGGCTGCAGTGGCCGTGAACATGCCAATGCACTCCAGCATGGGCTAAAGTGAGACTCCGACTCAAAAAAAAAAATAAACTTGTTGAGTGAATGAATGGACAAGTGACAGCTGGTACCCGGGCTAGGGGACCTGATGGCCAGGTGGAGGCCAGGGGAAGGCCAGTGAGCCAGGCTGGGGAGGCAGGGAGAGTGTACGTACTGCAGCAGGGCTTTGGTTTTGCGGGTGGGGTCATCGGGCCGGAAGTTCTTATACTCCTCCACCTCCTTCTCCAGCGACAGCAGCTGGCTCTGCAGCTTGCTGCGCAGGGTCGGCAGTGACTCCCGGATATGGTTGGTCAGTTGCTACAAGAGAAAGGCCAGAGATCAGACAGGGTGGCCCAGAAAGGTGCAGGCATGCTCTCCACTCCGAGTGTCTATGCCATGATGCCACTCTGAGCCCAGCACACCCCACAGACTCAAGAAAAAGCAATAGAAATTTCCAGTTACAGACACACTCACACCTGAGGCAAGGAGAGGTGACACAGTGAGTGAGACCCCACACATAGCCCACAAGGCCTGCACTGGACGCTGGGCAGACAACTATGTGTCTGTGTCATGGAAGACACCAGCTGCTTGCAAGGTCCAGTAGGTTGAGAGACACAGCTGTTGATCCAGATCCTTCCACAAGCAATGCTCAGTGAAGAGCCCAGGGAACCTCAATAGGTTTCGTCAACTACAGGATTAAGGGACAGGGGACAGTCTACCCAGATGGTAGAAGGCTGGATTGATGGATACACTCAGGGATGGGCAAAACAAACACAGATGGACACAAGATGAGATAAGCTTTTCTTTCTGAAAAGGTACAGAACACACATGGGATGAAAGAGGACGATTATGTTTTTATAGTGCTACATCAACAGAGAGAAGAGTCAGGAGATCAGTGTGGAAGCAAAGGGTAGATGGAGCAGGTGTGCCCGAAGGAGACCCTTCAGTCCACTCCCTTTCTGCTCCACGGTTCTGCTTTTTTTTTTTTTGAGTTTTAGTCTCATTGTTGCCTAGGCTGGAGTGCAGTGGCACGCTCACAGCCACCGCAGCCACAACCTGCTGGGCTCAGGCGATCCTTCCTCCTCAGCCTTCCAAGTAGCTGGAACCACAGGCATATGCCACCATGCCCAGTTGATTTTTTGATTTATTGTAGAGATGAGGTCTCACCATGTTGTCGAGGTTGGTGTTGAACCTGTGGGCTCAAGCAATCCTCTCACCTCTCCCTCCCAAAGTGCTGGGATTATAGGCTTGAGCCACTTCACCTGGCCTGGCTCTGCTTTTGAACATACAAATCTAATCACTGTTCACTGATTTGTAAAAGGAGGCGGTGCTGAACAAAAGGAAAGACCCTCAAGATGTTCTGGAGAAAGAACTGAATGTGGAATAAAGAGTGAGAGATTTCTGCTGAGGGTGAAAAGAGAAAGGAGAGGGAAGACAATCGCTTCTCAGCCTTTTGGCGAAGATCAAGTGTAGGAGAGGGAAGGGAAGTGAGAGGGGAGGGAAGAAAAAGAGAAAGAAGAAATAAAAACAGTAAGTTCCCTACATATGAACGAGTTCCAGTGCAAGTCTATAAATTCAATTTGTTTAAAGTCCAACAAAGTTCCGGGCTCGGTGGCTCAGTCTGTAATCCCGCGCCTTTGGGAGGCTGAGATGAGTGGATTGCTTGAGCCCGCGGGCTCGAGACCCGCCTGGGCAAATTGGTGAGACCTCATCTCTACAGTAAATCAAAAATTAGCCAGGCGTGGTAGCGCACGCCTGTAGTT